AGACAATAAAATAAATCTTAGAATTCTACAAAACTTCCCGTCCTAAAACCTGATGCCATCCTAATGACGGCTGATTCCGTTGCCGTATACGATAAAAGCTATGATAAATACAAAAATGTATTTAGATTAGTATGTCCTCAAGGTCATCAGTATTTATTTCAAGCTGAAAATGAATCTGAGATGAATGATTGGATATCAAAAATTAATTACGCAGCTACATTTAAAACCGTTGGATTAAAAATTAGAAATGTTAGGAGTGGTACTACTGGTGGCATGTCAAGTTTTGGTTCGACATTACATAACATTCCTGACGTTAATGAAAATGAAAATGATATGGGTGCCGGTGTAGGTAATGGATCTGTGCCTATTGATAAAAAGAGAGAAGAAAAAGATGTTAGTAAAAAACAATCAGAAAGAGTTGCTAGATTTGGAAATTCTGGAATTACCAGAAGAGACGCCAAAAAAGGTAGTGATAAGTTTAGAACTTTGTTTAGGTTAAAAGAAGATAATGCTAAAGATGCACAAGGACGAGCTAACTTGCTACGCGTAAGTTTCCATTTTATTATTTATTCCCTTTTAATTTTTAATCAATTATATCTAAATATCTAATATCTAACAAAAAAATATATTGTTTCTTTATAGACAAAGATCGAAGAACTTCAAGGAAAAATTTCAACTTTAACTTCTCAACTCCAAAATGAAGTTCGGCTTCGTAACAATCTATTTCTCATGATTCCTTATAGAGCATCAACGCGAGATCGAATAATACAAATTGCAATTACAGTAGCAACCAAACTTCGACACACATGTCTAGAATTATCTAGACTTGTATGTTATCATGAAATATTGGAAAAAGATTTATGTGCTACAGTAATGGAGGATGATAGGTATTGGTTGAATAGGAGAAGTATGTATAGACTTTGTGGTGAAAGCAGTTCAGAAGATAATAGTAATTTAATTGGATCTATAACGAGTGGTGATGGTGTTTCAGCTATGATGTCGATGATGAATACTGAAAATAAGGATCAATCTAAAAAATTGTTGGACATAGATGATATTAAAGATATAGCCGATATGACCAACATAACTAAAACTTTTGGTTATAAAGAAGGTGATTCCACTACAACAGTTATCAAATCTTCAGAATCACCATCAATAATTATCAGAACTGAAAATAATAACATTAATAAAGTTGATGTGAAAGACAAAGGCAAGGATGAAAGAATTCAAACTGTACCAATTTCATTATTACCAAAAAGTTCTACATCTTCATTATCTTCTATGCAATATTCAAGTAACGGTGGTGATAGTTATGGTGGAGGTTCAAGTCAAACTACTGTTTCCCAACATGATGAAGAAGATTTTGTATATCATCATGAAGATGCTTCAGAATTTGACTTGAGATTTGAAAGAGATAATACCTTGGATGATAGTAAAGTTGATGAAATATTTACTTATGTAAATAAGGATTTGCAAACAATAGATCCTAAAATTCTAGAAGTTGTATCCATAGTGGATAATAGTCCATCAGATGTATTTAATAATCTTATCAGTGAAGATGTGTCATTACCAGTAGTGGAGACAAATATACAAAAATCGGTTATGACCATAATGACTCCCATAATTATAGATGATGATGATGAGGTGGTGGTTATTGATGATGATGATGATGATGAGGAGGATGATGAGGAAGAAGAGGAGGAAATATTTGTAGATAGTTATGAGTTTAGTGATGATGATTCGGACGATGAGTTTGTAGATGCTGAGGAATTTGTAGATGCTGAGGAATATATTGATACCAATTGGGATTAGTGTTTTTAAATAAGTGTTTTTTTTTGAAAAAAAAAAAGTTAGAATTTAATAATTTATTATCATTTTACTATTATTTGTTAATTTTGGTTTGGAATTTTTGGGTTTGTAATTTTAATAAAATTAAGATCTTGTTCATAATAAATAAATAAATATATATATATATATATTGATATATTACATTATTACTGTTTTTTTTGGGATTGGAAAATATTCAGGCATGCCTTGGGCTGAGGTATGCATCTTTTATTGTGTGCTTTCGGATAAATCGGGCGTTATTACACTTTTGTTTTATATTCCTATTACTTTTATTAAGTCCTATTACTTTTTATTAAGTCGAATATAAGATAACCATGAAGTCGATTATATAGTCGTCTCCCTCTATACTGAACTAGATTTAGTTATACATGTTTTAGGGTTTGCGCTTTAATATCACTAGTATATAGGGTTAACAGTGAATCCGTTAAAAACTAAAAAGTTTACACTTAATTAAAAAGTTTACACGTAGATGCTGTAACCATATTTGTAAATTTTACCCAAAAATATTTCTCATTGACCATTCTCGATGATGAGGTGCAGGTGAAACTTGAATCATTGGGATGTGCCGAACTGTATCAAAACTCAGTTATAACTTGTTAATTAAAAACGCGGCAAATTGAACCTTGCGAATGTAACGTATAATATCGTTTGCGACGCAACTGACGTATGCCGTAACTTATGTCGCAACAAAACGTACGCGCACCTACAAGAATTCCTACCTTAGATGTTGAGATAATAACACCATCTTCGGATGGATAATTACTCGATAATAATATTTCTTGTAATTGGTTGAAAATAGGATTTGAGTTCACGAAATATCGTGCTTTCTCTTTTGACAGATTACAAAGAGTAAGGCAAGATGCACAAATGTTACTTTTTCATAAATTTATTATAAGTGTTTTTTTTTATGAGCAATTTGTAATTTGATTTCGAAATTAAATCCTTACTCGTAATTTGAAATAATTGCATAAACACTCTTCAATAATTCAATAACCATCTGGCTCTAAAAAAAAAATACCCAGCCATTAACAGGCCA